TATTAATCATAAGCCCTAGCTTAAGATTGAGAAAATCTAAAATCACTAGTCGATAATTGTTTGTAAATATTTGTATTAACATAGTCATCAAGATATTCAAATTATGTTATCCCATTTAAATTATCTTCATTTCCAAACAGTAAAGGTGTCAATATGTTATCATCATCCAAAATTACACATATTCGACTATTATAATTTAATTCCAATGGATTAATCATCCCATAAACAGTGAGATTAAATGGATCTTTAATTAGTTCACTATCATGATATTTTGTTAAATAAACTATTAATCTTTTTGGATTAAGAGAATCCTAATCACAAAATACAGAGGATGTTTCATTTATTACACATTTTATTATATTTGTAGTGTAAGAAGATGGAAATTCTATTAATACTCTATAAATTCCATAAATAGGAACAATTTTTATCGATATAATACTACTAACCAAAGGATTATTAAATTTCTTAGATATCAATTCTATATTTTTGACAATCTATAATGAAGCCTATTAAGTCTAGGTATCAGTTGGTAACCTTGGTGGTTGACGAATTTGAAAATATTAGATTATTGTATGATACATATCTTCATATATAACTCTAAATATTTTATTAGTAGTCTATAAGATTGTAATTCGAGTGCAATTGACACTATATTTATATTAAATTTGATCAGGTTTGTATTTGTTTGAATAAAAATAAAGGTTTTAAGAATCATGGGAATAATGGGAAAATGATAATGAAGGCATAAGTGTATCTATTTCAAGTTAAAAGACTTAACAATTTAATTAATCATAACTTAAGAATCCTAATTCAATTCTAATAAGTGTATCTATTTATATATTTTTGGGTCTAAATGCCACACCCATAAATGTTGGTACTCCAATACTAGGTGTATCTAAATATAGTTCCACCTCACTTATTTGAAATAATGAAGTAGGCATGTCTGTTTCATCAATTAAAAATGTTTTTGTAGATTAGCATTAATCAATCAATTGAGTATCATGATAAATTTCCACTGTAAAGGTGCTTGCTGTAATTGTATCTCCTTAATGAGATACGAAAAATTCAAGTAGATATTCAGTTTATTATTTTAAAAGTACTGAGTTTTAACTTCTTAATTAAAATGTAAGTTTAGATCCTATTTATTTTAATGCACATTCAGTAGCAAACTTGGCTACCTCAGGTCCTGAAAAATAGCATTCTCTATGAAATATAAATCCACTATTTAAATCAAACCCATAGTAAGTATTACATCTAATCTATCATTAGTAGTATCATAACTGAGACTGAAAGTCATTGATTATTGCTATCTAACAATATTTTTATTTAATGTAAATCCCCAATCAGAAGTTACGCATAATGTTCCAGATGAAGATGGGATCACTGTTGCTATTGGAAGTTATTGATGGTGGATTATAAATTTAATTGATGACTGAATATGTAAGAGGAATTTAAGGGCCTTATTCTAATATTAAAGTATTTGAGTATT